GTGGCAGCATGGAAACCAAGAGCCAAGACATCACCATACTATTCTCTTGGTTCCACCTATCATATTCAGCACTTCCATACTTCGGTTCCTTCACTCTCCCATTGATGTATCCTATTTTCCCCCTAGCAGTGATGTAGAGTTTTATTCCCCTAGACCACTCAAGGTAGTTCAGACCATCAAAGGGAATAACAGCCATGGGAAAGCTCATATCCATTCCCCCACTCACTCCATTGTGGCTCCCTGAAATCTCGGAAGTAGCAGAATTATCAGACAACATGGTCAAAACAGATAATCAGTCCCAAACACCGGACTTAGGACCCCTCCTTACTCCACAAAACAATGCTCCACTCAGTCCACACCCACACACTTGGGTTTAAAAACAGGCTGAGCACAAACAGTACCAAATTCAGGACAAAACAAAGGACTTAGGACCCCTCCTTACTCCACAAAACAATGCTCCACTCAGTCCACACCCACACACTTGGGTTTAAAAACAGGCTGAGTACAAACAGTACCAAATCCAGGACAAAACAGAGGCAATATTCGGAAGATTTCAGACCTGTACGGTTTTAGCAGTCCCAACCTACCAGCCTTCCAGAATGTCTAAAGCCATTAATCAGCAGGAGAGATCATTATCACTTATAATCAAGTCAAAATATTGAGATGACAGGTCATCCTTGACCTACAGTCGTCACACATGAACAGGATCACACGATCCAAAAAAAAACAGAGGTATACCGATCCGACAGCATTCAGCAACCCAGATTCATTTGGTTTTCACTTGGTACATGACCAAGGAGGGTAAAGAAGGGGAAACGGAAGAACTGTACCAGTTGTAGAGCTGTTTTCCTCAGTCCAGATTCAGATCTCTGTTCCACCCAGGTTCAGCAAGTCTGTTCGATTTGTTCTCTCAGTAAAGGTTGATCAATCTGCTCTCTTTAGTCAGTATTCCCGCTCTGATACCATCTTGACAGTATGGCCGGCCAGAAATAAGAGGAAGAGAAGAGAAGAGAAGAAGAAGAGAGAAGAGAGAAGAGAGAAGAGAGAAGAGAAGAGAAGAGAAGGAATTTGCAATGTAACAGTGCTGGCGGCGCCCAGCCTTTATTATAATATATCTAGGGCGGCAGAAATAACAAGGGAAAAGGCCCTTGTGCCCCTGAGTACAATAACAGACATAACAGAAGTGAAAAACGAAATAAAAAAAACACTTTAACTAGCCAAACAGACCCTAACACCAACAACTAAAATATTTTAACAATATAAAAAGTGAGGTTTCATCAATCCCCATATTATTTGGTTTAGTATTATTGAATGCTTGGAGCAAGGCTTTCTTCTACATATTTACCACTCCCTTCTAGTCTGGTTTTCTCGTCAATTATTTTGTTTTCGATAATAGATAACTTTCAAAATAATCAAAAGAGGAAGCAGAAAATATAGAGATGACAGAGGCCTTTAAAACAAAAAGGCTACCCACACCTTAATATAGCAACCCACCTGGAAGATACATTCACAACCACAGCACCCAATCCCATCTAAGCTGTTAGTCAAATTGTCCCTACTCAAGGAAGAGTATTGAAATAAAAGGACATTACCCAATGCTAGACTAGTGGTCATGGCTATCCTAGGTCTTGGAAGGTGTGTATTGGACATGGACCTGACCTTTAGCATTTTCAGTATTAAGTGGCCACTCATAGACTCAAACCTTCATTCTCACACCTGTCAGACAAAGATCTTACCATTGCAGCAAGTAATGGCTCTTTGTTTTGTTTTTACTTCTTATTGGCATTTTACTCCTATGGTTTATCCTGCTTTTAAATTAATAATATTGCAATGAAACATATAAGGGTATTTATTTCTGTTGAGATGGTAGATTGAGATGATTTGGTATGTGCAAAGAAGACCATCTACAGCACCTGTAAGTAAAAAGTGATCAGTTACAAGTTGAAGGGGCTAGAAGAGATAGGGGCAGATCTTAAAAGACTTGGGTGGAAGCAGTAAGAAATGATTTAAGCACTCATAATTTAATGATGGATATGGCACTGAAAAGGACATGGAGGCAAACATGCAGCTGATCCCATATAGTTAGGACAAGGCTTAGTAGCTTAGATGATGATGGTATTGGTATTCTGTTATTTATGTAGTATTAATTGTAGTTCTTAAGGGCATTTTATTCTTCTAGTTTATTGTTCTATTAGATTAATAATACTCCAATGGGATGTATAAGACAGCATAAAAAATTCTCACCATCCCTTTCTTCATCCTTAACCTTCACAATCTATAGTTGCAATTGTTGCTACTCAACCAGTAATGGAACGCTAGTTCAATGCAAGATCCTAGTAAGCAGATAGGAAATTGTGAATTTCTAGTTTGTAGGCATTCTCAACTGCCTCAATTATTTAAATATCCAAGTGAAATTACCTTGATTCATCACTTTTTTACAACCCTTTGATTCACTACTTTGTGATTACATAGCATCCAAAATCAGAACACATAATTGAGAAGCTGAAAAGCTAAGCTCTGATGCATATTTTAGGAATTCTCAGAATCTAGAAAAACCTAAAAGCTAATAGATAACTGAAGAAGTTTACAGAACAAAGCATCTGGAAGATGTTAGCCACCCATGGAAACTTACAATCTTATTATATTTTTCATTTCACTGATGTAGTCAGGGATTTGTCCTGTAATCATGCAATTTCTGAGTATCCTATTAACACAACAAAACAAAATGCGTCATGAGTGAAAAGAACCACAAACTATTACACAATTACACCATGCATATTTCATCTCACAAATCAGTTATGGATTTCATGCCACTGAGGTCAGGGAAACTCATGTTTGATCCATTCAAATCAGACACCCTCCTGAAATTTAAAAGCATCATATCAGAAATTCATATCATCGTTCTATTTACTATCCACATTATTCTTAACTTGTTAAAAGTAAGAAAAGTCACTAGACTAGATATAGAAGTTACAAGAAACTAGAAATATTAACTCACAGTTGAATTAAGTTTGTCAAGAAGGAGATCTCAGAAGGAATAGGGCCCTCCAAGGATGTTCCTTGCATATTTCTGGAACAGTTTCAAGTAATAATTCACATAAATTATCTTTGAAAACAGATTCTTTTTTCTGTTTAAGTTTTGATTAAACTTGCCAAACACAGAAAGACAAATTGGTGAATATCAGAAAAGGTACTCACAGAATATTAATTTTGGTCCAGTTTCCAATGAAATTAGGTATCCTCCCAGATATACTGTTCCCATCTATCCTACTGCATGTAGTAACCAGATTTAGGAAACTATTATTTGAAGATGTACGTTACCAATATTAAAAGCAACAACTTACAAATCTGTCAAGTTTTTCAGTTTTCCAAATGTTTCTGGGAGTGGCCCTGTTATGTTGTTAGCAGAAAGAAGACTGCAGAAGTAAGAGCAATCTACATGAGTTCAAGAAAAATAACAACAATAGTAAAGTAAACTAAATAACAAACATAAAATGATTATACATATGAGGATGTTAAGATTGATGAGGTAGGACATGGAAGGAGAAAATTAAAAATGAGCTACGAAATAATGACAATCAGAAAAATGATTGAATACTTATACTGAGATGGTTTAGCTATATGGAATGAGAACCAACAAGTGCAAGAGTTACTTGGTTAAAGTTGAACATTCAAAAAGGAAAAAGTAAAAAAAAAAAAATCTCAGTTTAGGCATTTAACAAGGATTTGTTGCCGATAAAAATTGTTTCAAGTACCCAAGCCATTATATTACGAAATTGTCACAAAGTATACAAAAATTAAAACAAAAAGAATAACAAAAGAAAAAAAAAAAGAGGAAATGAAAACATATCATACAGTCTACGCAACCGGGTTAAGTTGCCAAGCTGTGGAGGAAGTGTTCCTCCAAGTTGATTATCTTCCAAGACCCTGCGAATCCAGTTTTGGATTAGAGACATAAATAAACACCATTTTTTGTCATAATTTACCAATAATGTTAATTTGGTCATGACTCACAGCTCTTCAAGCGTTTCAACGCTTCCAAATTCCGCTGGAATTGATCCACTAATGCGGTTTCCAATAAGGTTTCTGCAATGTCAATAATTTCAGTGGAGACATCCCTATCAATTGGTTCTACTAGAGCCATAGAATTACAAATACAACTAATGGAGTTGATTTGGATTTTGGAGCTTACATGGTTACTAGAGGGATCCGAGTCCAACTCACAGGAATGGTCCCATTGATATAGTTGCGAATAAGATCTCTGTTTTAAGAAGACAAAACCTTGCATTAGAAACCTTCCAAAATTTCAAGGGTGGTGTAAGATGGCGTGGAAAAGTGGTGCCAATATTTTCTAGCCGTTGTCGAGCCCCTAACAATGTATGCAATCCCGTAATGGGAGACCCTGGAGACGAGTCCACTATACAGGCATATACACACGATTGTAGAACATGGAATATAAGCAACAACCTAATCAGTGATCACAGTCTGATGATCAAATTAAATAACAACCAAAACAATAATTGAGAAAACATGTTCAGAACTACCATTGTTAAAAAAGCACTTACATCTCTGTCAAATATGGAAGATCCCCAAATTCGTCGGGTAGAATTCCAGTTAGGTTCATACCTTCCATCTTACTGAAATACACCAAAGAAAGTAAAAGCTAAAATGGGAAAGTCAAATATTAAATATGCTCTCTGGTTGATCATATGCATGGAAACAATTGATCCATTTAAACTCAAAGACACGAGAGAGAGAGAGAGAGAGGGAACGTACAATTTTGTGATATGGCAAACGGTGAAGGCGTTGTAGGAACAGTCGCAGGTGATATTGCTGATGATATTCCGAGCATAGTTGTACGAGTTAATAAAACCTCCACTACAAGAGGTTGACTTGATGGTCCAGTATTTGTTATTTAATTTTGCTGATATTTTCCGGAGCGCCTGTACTGTAAAGATAGATAATAATCGGCTAATCGCCATTAGCAATTTAACAAGGATTGCCATTTTTCTAAAGTCCACTCGAAATCCAATATACATGTAAATTCCAAAACAAGTGGCAATCATCGTTGAACTTCGATTTTTTTGAACATACATGTAAATTCCACCGACGCACTTAAAAGTTAAAACACAAGAAAATAATATAGGGTTCATTCGTTGCTGGTTTGCGAGCTGTATCTTTTTTCGAGGCTGTGCATGGGTTGTTATGGAATTCGGGGGGAACGAACTTAAATTCCATTCCCAACTGAATTTCATCGAAATAAATATAACACCTTTCTTTCGGGTTTGAATCTCCAAAACTTTCAGGGCTTTCAAAAAAAAAATAAGAAAGAAAGAAAGAATTATCTGCAACTTGCAGCAAAAATGATGCCCCCAATTCCACAAATTTTCAATTCTGTGACTCCAAGTCTTTGCAGCCTTTGGAGTGTCAAATTTAAAATGTTGAAAGTCGAAACAACTTTTCCCCATCTGTATCTTCTATTGGGGTTCTTCTTTCTTTTCTTTAATATCCCAATAGAAAAAACAAAAATTCAATAGACAAACTTGGATTTCATGAGCAAAAGAACAATATAACAAGGTTTAGAATACAGATTTCGTTTTAACTTGCCATTGTCCATATCTATTGGCAACTTATTTGATCTGAAATTCCTAGGACGAAAAGATCGGAACGGAAGAAATAATTTTGAACTGGAATTAGGATCATAGGAATTGAACAGAGAAGAGATCAAGAGAAATTTATTCATGTATCCTTTATTTTGTTTGGTGTAGTAACCTGCTGTAAGTAGGGAGTCCGGATGGACCAGAAATAAGGAGAGTGATTTTGGTGGCGCAGTTCGAATATATATATATAAAATAAAATTATAGAAAATAGTATATAATAAAAATATTATAATTATTAATTATTATAATTCTTAATTTTTTAAATATAAAATAAATATATATATAATTTTTATTTTTATAAAATATTTTAAATATTTTTATAATAAAATATAAAACGAGTTAAATCGAATTCGAGCTTATGAACTCTTGACTCGAGCCGAGTTTGAGCCTGGTACTATAAGGCTCGGTTCGGATCAAATCCACCCCTACCGGTGGTCGTGTGCCTCACGTTAGGAGTGAAAAAATAACCGAAAAACCAAACTAAAAAGTTGGTTAACTGAACCGGTCGGTTTAGTTTTGGTTTGATGTTTTCAAAAAACCAGTAGCTTTGATTTGGTTTCGGTTAACCATTTAAAAAACCGGCGATAAACCGAACCAACTGATATATACAATGATATATATTATATAAATATTATATATATATATGTTATATTATATATTATCTTTTCATTTTTTTAAAATCTAATTCAGGCTTTCAGCCTTTTGAAGACAGACCGGCGAACAGGCTATAACTCAGGCTTTTTCAACCTTTCTCTTCAAAAGGCTGGCAGATTAGCAAATAGGTGAACTCAGGCGAACTCATTGTCAGACTAGCAGTCTCTCCCTTTGTCCCTAATAAGCCTCTTACCCCTACCGTACCTTTTCAGTTTCTATTTTCCCCTTTCTTTCTTCTCTGAGACTCTAAGTTTTCTTGGTCACTCTCAGTCTGAGTTCTCTTCTTCCCCAACGGACCGACGGCCTCCGGTGCTTCGCCTCCAATCCAATCATCGACGGCCTCCGACGATCAAGTCACCATCATCAACATTTGACCAGGCGACCATTTGTCTCACTCTCTATTCTCTTTATCAGATCATTCTTCTTCTTCTTCCTCAATGTCTTCTTCTTCTCTCTTAGTCTCAGCCATTCATCTCTCTCAATCTCTCATCTAATCTTAGTCTTAATTCTGTTCACTCTTCTTCACTCTCTATTTGCAAAAGGAAAGTTTTTTCCTCTTTTTTTTAATTTTAAGTACATAAAAATAAAAAAATCCAAACCATGATTAACCGGTTGCATCGGTCCGGTTTCAGTTCGATTAGATTTTAAAATCGAACATGTCGGGTTTGTCTAGAAAATTACCCCACGGTTCGGTTAATCGAACCGTCAGCACCCCTACCTCACACAGAGAGAGAGCCTGATCCCGATACACCATATTCGAAGGAAGACTGAATTTCTCAAGAAGTGCAGATTCATGGTGAGAATTCGAATGAGATGTCAACTTCGTGATCCTGTGCATTGGTCCCACCCAGACACCCACCATGTGAGCATGTACTTAGTATCCAGTGAAAAAAGGGCTTGTTTATTGCTACTTGCTAGCTTTCAGCAAAGAAACCACTGAAACAACGACAAATTTATGCCAGTACTTTTAAATTTTATATTCGAAGAATTATCGAAACAAATAGGCGTCGTTTTTGACCGGCCGAGGAGAAGAAGGTCACCAAAGAATTATCGAAACAAACAGGCGTCGTTTTTGACCGGCCGAGGAGAAGAACGTCACCAACAAGCAACAACGAAGTGCATTTCTATGGAAATCTCCGTTTCAACCAAGAAATTCTTATCTTGAAAATAAAGAATTTCCAGACATTTGAGGGAATTGTTCCTTTCTCCATTTACTGGAGTATATAACTATATATTTTGATTGAATTTTTTGTCGCCGGTGATGCGAATTTCCGGTGCCATGAATGGAGAGAAAACAGAGCAGTTCAAGTAATTTCATCGGCTAACCAAACAAAAATTGTACAAAGAAGATACTCTTTCGTTCTAAATTAATAAAAGATTCAAAACAGAGAGAGAAGATCGAGATGTACCTTCTTCATCAGGTAAGACCCGGGCTTCAGATCTGAAACCGGCGAAGCAATTTAACACGAGGAAACAGAGAAGAGCAGACAGAATCTTACTCGAGTCTGCTAAAACAGCCATTAGCACCTTTAGTGAATTTCTCGCTCCAAGAACAGAGAATCCGTTCTTCAGTTCTTCTGCAACGAAATTCCTCGTGGATTTTGCTACAGATCAACAAGCAAAGCTCCTACGCAAGCTGAAGTTAAAGAGCAGTGAACGGCCAAAGTGAACTTCAAAACATAACTACGAGATTTGAGAACCCTTGGAGAAAGAGCAGGACTTCAGATGGTTGACGTTGATGAGACGAGAAGAGAATAGCTGATTGTAGCGGGAAGAGTAACAAATAACCAAAGTACAAACTATTACGGTAAATAAAATATAAGGGAAATTGTTCAAACCTCCTTCAATCATCTCCTGAACTTTTTGATACACTTGCAAATAGATCCCTTTTAGATCACCCCAAAGGGCGCTCTACACATAGAAATGTCTAAAATACCTATATAATTACTATTAAGATTAGTTTCTACAAAAAAAAATAATACAAAGTTTATAAACAATTAAGGCCCGTTCACTTTTTGGTAAATTATTTATCCAAGTAAATGCACTTACACAAGTAAGTGTTTTTCACGAAAGATTTACCTAGGTAATTACATTTATTCATGTTCTTTTATTTCCCATGTAAATAAGGTAATGACCATTTTAGTCATAAAAACTAATTATTATAAGGGGTATTTTTGTCTAATTTAAATGTTGACAACTTTTCCCCAAGGTAAAAAAGTTATTTATCCACCTAGAATATGGGGTATTACTCGGTCCCCATATAAATATAAAAAAAAAAAAACATGAGATTCTTAACCAATAGGAATCAAAATGTCATTGACCAACTTCTCTCTCGAAATCCAAAAAAAAAGAACAGCCCCTAAAAAAATAAAAATGAGAATTTAAAATTATAAATTTATCTTTGAATTATTAATATGAAGGGTAAATTTAAAAAATAAATCAATTTTAGAAAAAAAATGGAAAGGTTTGAACTAGCCATTCATATAAAAAAAATTGAAAATAAAAAATTTTGGTCAAAAACATTTGGATACCTCTTTTTAGATTCAAACAAAGGGGTCCTTGTAACTATCCCTAAAAAAGTTTATAGAAAATGATTGCAATTACCAAATTTTAAAGGTTTTAACAATTTATCCTCCATTCCTTTTTGACATGTAGGTATACGGCATACCACCAATTATTGGTAAATAAGCATTAGACAAAATTATCCTTACTGTTTACTTTTTATTACTATCAACAGTGATATTCTTGGGAGCTGGTGTGCGGGAGTCTCTGGGGTTTTTGTTTTGTACCTGAGCATAGTCTTTTTCTTACATATGAAATGCAGAAAATTTTGGCTGTTAAGTGTTTGGGGAGAATATTCACATGACACGTTAATCCATTCAAGCCTCTGTGGCTCTGTTTGTCTTTTAAGCCAAAACAACACAGAGGGAAATTGTGATTTCACCCCACACCCACGGTTACGTGTCATATGCGATATGCCCAAAAGCTGGCCAAAGTTTTTACGGATGTGACCCAGAAGGGACGAACTTCATAAGATTAGGTCGTTAATAGTAAGTTAAGGCCTAATTAAACAAAAAACACATTACGTCAACTGATTTTGGCACATTTTACTATTTGACGCGACACAAATTCTTGGCCTCACGTCAAATCACCATTAACCCCCTGAAATTTGGGGGTAGTGACACTAAACCCCCGAACTTTCATTCCAGTCCAAGGCCCCATGAAGTTTTAGATGTCAACATTTGCTCCATTCTGTTTAGGGGCGGCAATTTTTTGATCCAACCGGCCAACCCATCCATTAATTAACTGTTTGGGTTTGGGTTGTAACCATTTAGTCTGGGTAACTAGTGGGTTGGTTAACCCAATAAATTACTATTTAATGGGTTGCAATAAACTATTATTTAATGGGTTGGGTTGGGTTGGGTTGGTCACGGTTATCTTGTGGGTAGAGGTGTAAATTGAGTCGAGCTGCCCGTGACCTGGTACAAAATTGGATCGGCCTGGCTCGATGAACCCACAGCCCACGTGCCAACACGGCCCAACCTGCGGCACAGCCCACAACACGGCCCGTCATGGGCCGGCATGGCACGACCCGCCTGGAATATAGTTGTTGCCCTCCCCCCAATGGGGCCCAATGGTTAGGTTTAGCTTTTTTGGGGGGTTTTATAGAAATACCCCCCAATAGCTATAAATAGCCATATTAGGGGGTATTTGTGTAGTTTGCTTATTTGGGGTTGAAAAAATGACATAAATGCCTCCCCAACAGTTATATAACAACTAGTTTAGAGGGGATTTTTGAATAAAGTTATAAATAACTTTACAATGATCAAAATACCCCTCTTAACAACTGAATAACAGCTAGTTTTTTGGGTATTTTGGGCAATTGAATTATGTTCAATTCCTATAAATAGCCCTATCCTCCACCATTATCATCACACCAATTCAACAATTCTCTTAATCCCTTCTCTCTCTCTCTCTCTCTCTCTCTCTCTCTCTCTCTCTCTCTCTCATACTCATACATTCTCAACTATCTACAATTTGAATAATTCTGATTATCTGATTGTTTGATTCTGCATTCTCCAATTCTCAAGTCTCAACTTTATTGAAGTTTCAACTTTCAACAAAAAGAAGGCTTACTCAACCAACTCAAGTATCTCAATTTGGGAGGCTTGGACGTTGAAAGGATTCAACCGTTGAAATCAAGTTGGGATTTTGATCCAACAATTTGGGTAAGTCGAATTAGATTAATTTTTATCTTTTTATAATTAAAAAAAAATGATCGGCTCTTTGAAAATCGATTCCCTAACATGTTCACCATTGATGATATTCAATCACATTATGATAGTGTTAGCACTGAAGTGATTGATGTCAATGGAAGTGAAACTTTCACCCCCGGCACTGATACTAAGGGAAAAATGAGGGCCTCTAAGTTGAGTAGCCCGGTTTAGAAAATTTTTAAAGTAAAGGATATTGAGGGGAAGGGGAAAAGGGCCGTTTGGCAAAAATGTATGAAGGATTTTAGTAATTGTAGCAAGGGTGGTACAAGTCATTTGAGTAGACATCTGCTCACACATGAGAAAGAAAAAGATGAAGGGAGAGAAACAACTCAAACACAATTTGGGAGGGGAGTAGTTTTGGTACTTTTAAATATTCACAAGAAAAAATGAGACAAGAACTTGCTAAGTATATTGTACATGCGGAACAACCATTTATATTAGCTGAAGATCTAATGCTTGAAAAAATGGTTGTGTAATTTTGTGAACCCACAATATAAAAAAGTTTGTAGGAATACTAATAGGTCGGATACTTTAAATTTTTTTTTGTTCATACAAACAAAATTTAATTTATTTATTAACAAATCTTAATTATAAAATTGCAATTACTTCGGATGTTTGGACATCCAAATTTAATATAAGTTATATTTGTGTTACCGGCCATTTCATTGATGAAAATTGGCTTTTGAATAAAAGAATTTTAAGTTTTACTAGACTTGAATGACCACATACTGGCACAATTATTGATGTAAGTATTTTAAATACTTTGCATGCTTATGGAATAGAAAATAAATTATTTTTTATTAGTTTTGGTAATGCCAACAATAATGATTCTGCAATAAATATTTTAAAATCCCAATTAAGACCATGCTTAAATGGTAAATTATTTCATATTAGATGTGCATGCCACATCTTAAATTTATGTATTCAAGATGCCTTGAATATTATTTCTACTCATATTTCAAAAATTAGAAATTGTATTATATATATATAAAAAGTTCAAGGGCAAGAAAACAAGAATTTAAATATTTATGTCAAAATTATGGTTTAAAATATAGACATTTTATATTAGATGTAAATCATAGGTGGAATTCTACCTATGCTATGTTAGAAAGTTGTATTTCTCATAAACAAATTCTTACTGATTTTTATAATTCAAAAATGCCTAATGATATGATATTTGAGGAAGACTGGGAAATGGCAGTGTGTATAAGGGATTTTTTAAAACACTTTTATGATGTAACTAATGAATTATCTGAAATTTATTATCCAACTAGTTGTAATTTACCTTATCAATTAATGGTAATTAGTGATTTTTTGCTAAATATAGAAATAATCCATAATTTCAATGTATTGTTAAAATTATGGAAAATAAATTTAAAAAATATATTGGGAGAACATTTCTCCCCTTTATTGTTTAACTACAATATTAGACCCTAGGATTAGAAAAGATGATTTAGATATTTTACTTGAATCATATTGTGAAAATATGAATATTGATATAGAAAATAAAAAAGAAGAAATTAATAATTTATTATTTGAAATGTACAGTTTATATTGTACAACATCTTCTACTTTTGACCTTGAGCCCAGTAGTAGAAGAGGAAAACATTTTTATTTAATAAGTAGAAGACAGAAATCTGCTATTTCTACAACAAGTTTATTTACTGAACTTAATTTTTATTTACAAGCAAATTTTTCTAATTTAGGTGAAGGATCAAATAATTTTGATATTTTAGCCTGGTGAAGTGAACATTCAAAAATTTATCCAGTTCTCGCTGCCATGTCACGTGATCTACTAACCCCTCTGGTGTCTATAGTTCCATCGGAGTCTTGTTTTAGTGCAGGTACCAGGGTGCTGGATGACAAAAGAAACTGCATGAATGATGAAAGCATAGAGATGTGCATCTACTTCAAGGATTGGCTAGATGTAGAAAATAGATTACAAGACAAAGGAGGGCATGCACCTAAAGCATATGATGAAAGTCATGATTCATGATTCATGAATTTGACTACATGTATAGAATTTTTTTTTATTTTTTTCAAATTATTGTAATTTTTTTAATTTTGTTTAATTTATTTGATATTTTTTAATTTTTTAATAATGCAATTTTGTATTTTCAATATGTAACTATATTGCATTTTTTATATTTTATTAATTTATTCCATTTTCATATTTCATTCATCCAAGTATCCAATGATCCAATCATTGTATTTGTAATTTGTACCATTCAAAATTAAATGAAATAAAATTTCTATTTTTCTTCCAATTTGTTATTCCATCATTCTTATTTCAATTTGGTTAAGTATTTTTTTTTTCATTTATGTATTAGATAACTTAGATTTCTCATTTCTTAATTTTTTAAATAGTTCCCAATTCCCAAAGTTCAAAGGAAAGTTAAATATTTTAGTTTTACAATTTTACTTAGAAAATAAATCAAAACTTTCAAAAAAACAAAAAAAAAACAGTGTAGCCCGGTTCAGCCCAGGCCCAAGGCCCCGCAGCATGGCACAGGCCCGCACGGGCCTGAGCCGTGGGCAGTGCCAGGCCGACCCCCAAAATTTCCATTGGGGAAG